GCTGGAAATTCCCCTAGTCCAGCTCTTGTAAAGCAACCGGTTTCAAAGGCTTCCACTAGGGGGAAACAGTTTCTATTTGTAATAGTCAATAGTATCCTCTTTTAAACAATCCAAAATTAGTTTCAAATTAGTTTCAATTTTCAGTTACTTTTACTCCTTTTTAAAGCAGCCGGAGACAGTAGAAACAATGTATTTCTCTTATTTAACTAGCTGTCAATGAACGTTCTAAACGCTGTCAATGAACATTCCAAAAGACGTCAGTCCTACTAGCAGCCCGTTTCCAGGGTCAGAGCGGCGGTGTTTTAAGTCTCTTCGCTCTCTCCCGCAGGCATACTCAATCCGCAACTTCCCCCTCTCTTCTCCTGCCTCCAAGAGGGGGTTTAATGTTCTTTACCATTGGAAATTTGATCTTTTACAAAAGACCTTCCAGTACTCCAGCTTGCAACTTCATTGCCTCAGTCTATTTACAAAAGGGAAAGGCGGACTTCCTGTTTTGAACCTCCCCGTTACGGTACCAAATTAAACATTTAGAAATCCAATTCTTCCGCTTCAGCTCTACTCACGGGTAATTACTTTAAAGTCAAATTGTCCACAGGAAAAGGTCAGCACTCTCCGGCAACAGCTATGCGGTTTCGCTCCGTGGAAGAAGCAGACGATTCGATGCACCGTGCCGCTCACCCCACGTTGCTCCGGAGCCCCAAAAACTGGGGTTCCCCGCGAGTGGGGGAGACGCAAAAGGTGCCCGCCGAATCCCACGTTCACAGGCTTCTCCTGCCTGTGATTTTAACGGGTCTCCGCCTTCGCTGTGGCAGCCAGACCCAGATTCCCAAGGAGCAGATTCCTCCCGGTCAGAGGAATTCCGCCATTACCGGAGGCGCCTCCCCGGAAGTCCTAGGAACTTTATTCTGTTGAAGACTGAATGCTAGTGATATTCAGGGCTTGAGACAGTTTTGTGTAGGGCCAGAGTCAAATGTGAGCAGGACCAGAGCTGCAAGTGTGTGGTGGTACTCACTTTCTGACAATTTCCATCTTCTTTCTTCTCCTGCAGTAGCTGTGGGAGGAGAGATAGATCACTCCTGCCAGAAGTAAGAACTGATTGCTTTCATATGGCTCCCTTCCCTCCATATAGACCAGGGTTGTGCAACCACTTTTGATGAATCTTGAATTCAGTGCCTGATTCAGTTTGAAATTTGGGATTCATCCATAGTGGTTGCACAGCCCTAGTTTATACAGTGGTGCCTCGCAAGACGAAATTAATCCGTTCCGCGAGTGTCTTCGTCTAGCGGTTTTTTCGTCTTGCGAAGCAACCCTATTAGCGGCTTAACGGATTAGCGCTATTAGCGGTTTAGCGGCTATTAAAGGCTTAAAGGCTTAGCGGATTAGCTGCTAAAAGGCTATTAAAGGCTTAGCGGCTTAGATAAAGGGGGGGGGAGCGGGAAAAAAACCCTCAAGACTCGCAAGACATTTTCGTTTTGCGAAGCAAGCCCATAGGGAAATTCGTCCTGCGAAGCAACTCAAAAACGGAAAACCCTTTCGTCTAGCGGGTTTTCCGTCTTGCGAGGCATTCGTCTTGCGGGGCACCACTGTATCTGTAAGTACGTAGAGGATTTATACCCTGCTTTTCCATCACTTATCCTTCCACTGATCTATCATTTTGGCTCTTCTGCTCCATTTCTTCCAGAAATCTGAACTAATTGCCTTCAGAGGGCTTCCCTCTTCCATTCTCAACAATACATGTATACTGTGCCACCCCAGCCCCCAATCTGTCCATCCATCAGCCCTCATTTTCCCCCTCTAGGCTGTCCCCACTTGGGATCTATGTATCTGCCAATCTCAGTATCTCTCAGTCTATTCTGACTGGCAGTAGCTATCCAAGGTCTTAGAAATCTTCTACCTAAAGTACTTTTCAATTGGATAAACTATGTATTGAACCTGGGACCTTCTGGAAAGCACATGCTCTCCTGAGCAATGGCCCACTCCCAAATGTGTGATGTCTAAAGTGACCACAGAAAACAGCAACAACAACAGACCATTGCATATGTATTGGTTACAGTTCCTACACTGGCTGCTTCCAAACTGTTGCTATTTTGCAGGTGGGATTCAATCACATTCCAACAAATTCAGGTTGTGCAATTACAGAGGACTTGCGCTCTTGCACAACAAACCAACTTCCAAATGGGAGGAAGAGATGTTTTGCAACAAAGAAAGTGATACGGGAATGCACTGGAAAAGTTGAGATGACAATTGCTTGATGCAATGTTGTATAACCCCACAAAATTGCCTGCAAAAATAAGAATGAATTCTCAGTAAACATTCAAGGGTTCTATATCATTTCCACAGACAAACCAGGATGAGTGCTTAATAAGTGGGTGATCTGGAAGTAACCTTTAGTTCCATTTTCCTCAAACCTATCTGTTTTCTAGATCCTTCCTTAATATCCTTCAGCTGTAAAAGAACTGATCTTTATTGATCAATGAGAAGTACTTACAAATTCTCCACAGAATGTGCAAGATTTTAGAAACATAATCTTCTTCACCAATTACCTTCATTCAGCATTTCCCTTTTCCTTAATTGCATTGCTACTTTTTAAATTGAGTTTAACATTCTCCATCAGTATCTTTTTTAATATGGCATCTGCTTCTCTCCTACATCAGTTTGGGTTCACTAGCAAACTATTAATTTGCATTTCCAGGCTTTTAAGAAAATGCTTATGATTGGCAAAAACTTTATGGTGCACCATTAAAGTGAAAGGAAATTGGTGCCACGGGGGATTAACATCTAGGCTGCATTCATAGAGAAATCTGTTTGGGCTTTCAGTGAGAAAGGCTGGTTAAATATTATATAAGCATCCCTTTCAGAAAGAGTTCATCATTTGGAGTAAATTGGAACAGTTTTGTTATCGGTGAAACTTCATCCTTTGGATTAGCTATGTCAAAACTTAATTGGCAGGCTCCCTAAGGCACTGTTGGGTTCAGGGCACCCTCAAGCCTCCTTCCACAGCCTTCAGTTTATGAGGTCCTTGGGAATGCCCTTTGGGCCAGGTGTGCACACCTTGGTGAATACCGGACAGAGGGGTCTGGGTACACATGTTGGGTTTACATACCCAAGGCTCACTTAGCAACAGGAGCACAAACTATAGGGGGAGGAAGGGGCTTCAGTCCCCTCAATATTTGTGGTTAGGGGGTTGAGACCCTCCCTCCAGTATTGAGGTAGCCACTATTCCCCACAGCCCGCCGCCACTGGGACCACACTCCCTACCCGCCACTGCCATGGGCGAACACTCATGCACTGGGTGGGGGATGGGACATACTGAGGGGTGCATGACATTGGACGTGATGTCAAATGATGCCCCTGCTTAGCAAGGGGGGATAATCTTATCCCAATCATTGGCTGGGGAGTTAAGTGGCTATTCACATGCCCAGCAGAGTGGAGGGATGCTTCCGTCCTAGTTGTTAATTCAAACCTGAATGCTTCTACTTACACAATCTGGTTATTGTTTGGCAGATCTTCTATGTGTAGATGAATTCTTAGTCCCACTGGTGTCATTGGAGCCTCCTTTCAAGTCTGCTATGGAGTACAGATTTACTGGACTATTCCAACTTTATACTGCTACTTGGGTCCTGCTCCAAGTTTGACAGGGTCCTTTGCAAAATTTATTTTAGTTCTCTGTCACTGGGTTCTTATCTAGTAGTCATGCATGGGTACGCAAACAGAACACTGAGCCACAGCCTGAACATTAACCATCAGCTGAGCCTATCCACTGTTTTAATTCTCCAAAAAGCAACTCCATGGGCATTTCATGGGAAATTAAAATGGTGCAGTAGGCTGGATTTTATGTAGGGGGGCAAGAGGAAGAGATCCCTGGTGGATTTCCAGTTCCTGGTGTCCTGCAGTTACTACTGTCGTATTCCAAACTGCAATCATCTGCTGCAATTCATGCAACAGAGCCAGTGGATCAGGGTTGGGTAATCATGTTCCCTTCCACCGACACTGGGATTCTTACACCAATCACATCTATCAGATGATATGAGACACTCTCTGCTCTCAGGAGATCACAGACCAGGCCCATACAACTTGAGACTCCCTAAGGCAAATGCAGTGATGCACAATGACCCACCAGGGCACTGGCGTTTCTTCTTCTGTCTGCTTCCCTTGGACTTAGAAGCAAGGGAAGGTTGTATTTTCATTGGAAATTATATGGATCTGTATGGAAATTTCAGCCAAACTGCTCATTCCATCAGGCTGCTTACTGAGACCCTAGATGTGGTGAAATATATGGGTGATGAGTTGCATTTGGCTTAGAATATTATCAGTTCTTCAGACATGTCCTACAATCTACTGGTCCCCCATTGGGATAAAATAATGAACTATTGGACTGATCAAGGTCCTTTAGGCTTTTGGCTGCCTCTTGCAGCACTTTTCCAGCTCTATGCTGTCCTTTATAAGGTGCAGTGACCTGGACACACAGCATTCTAAGTGTGGTCACATCACAAACTTGCATAATAGCATTGTGATAGTAGCAGTTTTATTCTTGATTCTTTCCCCTGATGTACCCAACATGTTTTTGTTGTATGCCTCACTTGTGAATTTGTCTGCATGCCCTTTGAAAGTATCTTGCAGCAGCAGATTCCACAAAATTAATTACGCATTATGTGAGGAAGTCCTTTCTTTGTTCTGCCCTGAATCTCCTGTCAATCAAGTTTAATTGGATGACTGAAGTTTTAGTGTTTATTTATGAGAGGGAGAAACACTTATCTCTATCTGCTTTCCCCCACATCATGCATAATTTTAAACACCTCTAGCATACTGACCTGATTTCACCCAATGTGAGATCTCACCAAAGTCTGAGGCAGCAATTTTTTCCCATCCTGCTCCCCACATCTCTTTAACTTGAGATGCCACAAATAGAGCATAGGAATATGCCTTATAATGAGTCAGCTCATTGGTCCATCTAGATCAATAATTACAACTTCTAGCAGTGGCTGTTCAGGATTTCAGACAATAGCCTCTCCCAGTCCTGAACTGGGGCCTTTGCATGCAAACCAGATGCTCTACCACTGAGCTACGGCCGTTCCCCATCTTCCATATGTACTCTACCACTAATATGGGGCCTTGGGTACACCTAACAAAACTGACTGCTTGAATATTCAGGGCCAACAAATGAAGATATTTTTTCATACAACATGTAGCTAAACTATGGAATTCATTCCCGCAAGATGTAGTAATTCCCACAAGATGTAGTGTAGAATTAGAGAAGTTAATGGAAGATGAGGCTACTAGACACAATGGCAATGTTCTGCTTCCCATGTCAGCGATAGGTGTCTATATTATCTCCAGCATCAGTGATGGTGTGCCTTGGAATCATAAGTGGGAAGACTGTTGTTGTGCTCAGTCTTGCTTGCAGACTTCCAATGGGCCACTTGAAGAACAAGATGCTGGACTAGGTGGGTCATTGGCCTGATTCAGCAGACTCTTCTTATGTTCTTATGGTTGGGTCTCTTCTCTGAATGACTGAAGAAGCAGTATTATACAGTGATTTAATGTAGGAGCTACACTACAAATGAGAAGTGATTCAATTTTTTTACCAAGCTGACATGAGCTAGTGTTCTCTCTCTCTCTCTCTTATAGGATGTCTGTTCAAAAAGGAGAACATTATGAAACCATTACATATCCTTCAGAGCAAAGTTTTCCTCTTAAAATTCTTTATAAATGATGTGTAATTTTAAAATGAAATATGTTCCACTTAAAATACCTCATTTTGGAAAATGATTAGATTTGAATGTGCAAAAAAAGGATATGGAAATGATGTATAGTAAGTAGGACTGGATCCAATCATGCTATCAGGATTCACAGGTAGATAATAATGAGAAGTAGGTGGTTTTGGCTCCATTACAACAATTACTGTGTCTTCATGGCTACCGTCATCACAGTTATTTTTGAAAAGTTTTTTTCTTAAGTTTCCCAGAAGTTTCTTTCCAGAAAGATTGATGAAATTGCTAGCACGTCATCTCCACCTATATTATTATTATTAGTAGTAGTAGTAGTAGTAAGTAGGGCCATGGGGACATATTGGCATGCGCAGAGAAAACCTAAGCTATGCCGAAATGACAAAAAATAATAAAAGTTGTACACCCATTTTAAGTGGTACAGTTGCTGGGGGGTTTCTGGATTTTTTTGGCATGTTGCCACCCATCATCATTTTTAAGTTTGCATTCCGGAATAATGTACTCAAACAATAGCTTTTTGTTCTGCAAGAAAATCCAACTCCTGTAAAAGACCCAGAAGGACTCCTCGTCATCCAGGTTTCTTTGTGGGTGGGTAGGGGTTTCTGGATGTGGTTTGGGAGACATCCGTTTCATGTCACTTTCCTCTAACCAGAAGGACCAGCACTCAAAGAATGAATTCCCTATTGGTACACAGGAGAGTGTCAGATACAGAGACTTTGGCTAGGTTTGCACTGTTGACTGTACTATTGTAAACATGTATATGAGTGTGTTAGGGGTGGACTAATCCGTGAATGTCGGTTTCTCAGTTTTTCACTCTTTCCAGGAAAGTTCAGTTCTCCTTATTTTCTCATGAAAATTCATCAGGATTTTATTGTCAATTTCGCCAAACCTGGACAATTTTTCAAGAAGAAGAAGAGTTTGGATTTGATATCCCATCTTTCACTCCCTTTAAGGAGTCTCAAAGCGGCTAACATTCTCCTTTCCCTTCCTCCCCCACAACAAACACTCTGTGAGGTGAGTGGGGCTGAGAGACTTCAAAGAAGTGTGACTGGCCCAAGGTCACCCAGCAGCTGCATGTGGAGGAGTGGAGACGCGAACCCGGTTCCCCAGATTACGAGACTACCGTTCTTAAACACTACACCACACTGGCTCAAAGCATTTTTCTGTAAAGTAACACAGTTATGTGTGGAATATTCACTAGTATGTGTGTTTTGAGAGACAGATCCTGAAGCTGAGGCTCCAACACTTTGGCCACCTCATGAGAAGAGAAGACTCCCTGGAAAAGACCCTGATGTTGGGAAAGATGGAGGGCACAAGGAGAAGTGGACGACAGAGGACAAGATGGTTGGATGAGTTTGACCAAACTGCGGGAGGCAGTGGAAGACAGGAGTGCCTGGCGTGCTCTGGTCCATGGGGTCACGAAGAGTCGGACACAACTAAACGACTAAATGACAGCAACAACATGTGTGTTTTAATGCACATTTTACACAAACGTGTTTTTCTATACACATTACTTAGTTGAAAAACTGCATTGTGAAATTCAGAGAAGTGCAGGATTCAAAGGATGGCTGTATTTTGGTTCACATATTGTTAGCTTTGCCTTTAAACGCAAATGGAGTCATATTCTACACCATTCCTATTGTGTGTGTGTGTACTACATTATCAAATGTTCGCCCATTCCCTGCACATAAAACAGCCCTTAGTTTGGCAAGCAAAGTGAGTCCATCTCCCTAATAACATGTAGGTAGTTTTTCCTATGTAGGGTTTTTTGTGGGGGAGGGGTAGTGTTGGTGGTGATACTGAGGAACAGTACATTAACTATGAAGCTGCAGAGCCCAGATACAGTTTGCTACGACACCCCAGGGAGAACTAGACCATTCTCTATGGTTTCGCCAATACACACAAACACACACACCGCTTTGTCTGAAGCAATGTGAAGCTGCCTGTATCTTGCTAGGCTAAATTAATTAATCTTAAAAGAAAATTCTATATTGTCTGATGTTTTAGACAGCTTAAAAGGTCACAAAGGCTAAATTGGAAGGCTTGAGGGCACTGGATGAAGCGTGAAGTAAACCCCAGCCACCATCAATTTATTTTTACAGCTAGAATTTAGAGCAGCGTGGCAAGATCAAACATGATTCTGGACAGAGAAGATGTGAGGAGAGAGAAGTAGCTCTTCCCCCTGTGATGCTGGTGACATTCTGTTTTATTTACAGCAATATACTCAGAAAAATCTACATGTTTATATAGCACAAGAGTATTAGAAACTGAGCCTCAAATATAAACCCCACTCTAAAAATACATTTTCAGTGCCTTCAAATTTGCTATTATTTTCTTAGCCGGAAAGACAAAAAATAAACTAAAGAATGCCCTAATGAGTATAACACTGGCAACGAGTCAGCTGCCAATATCAATACTGTGTTGTGTCTTTTATCACCTAGTATTTCAAAGTTGCTATCAAAAGCTACAATCCTTTATCTCTGATAGTGGAATACAAAATAAATCATAAGCAAGACTCTTTCATGGCATATGTGGACAGGTTTATTCTCAGTAAATGGATTTTTGCTTCCTCTAAATTACAGGGTTTGCTTGTTTGCTGAAGGCAAATGGGTCTATGACAGGTTGCAGTGGGCCAGCTGCTTGTTCTCCAAGCTGCCAAATTGGCCATTTTGCCAGCTACATGGTGCAGTTGGGCTAAGACCCGGGAGACTAGGGTTCCAATCCCTACTTGGCCATGAAGCTGACTTTGCTGACTTTGGACCGGTCGCCAACTCTTAGCCGAACCTACTTCACAGGGTTGTTGTGATGATAAAGGGAGGAGGAGGAGAACTATGTATGCCACCTCAAGCTCCTTGAAGGGCAGAGGAATTATCAATATAATAAATGAATGTTTGTTTTTGTACTCCTGAATACTTTGAAATCCCCAAAGCCTCTCAGTACATTCCTTTTCTGCGTGGGTAGTGCAGTTTTGGCCACATTAGCAAAGGATCTTGTAAACAGAATGCCTGAATACTGGAAATAAAAGAAATGATAAAAAAGAGAGAAAATGAGCCCGTCCTGCCCCCCTCCCCAAATTTGGGAATGAAATACATCTCTACATATTTCCAGAACTGCGTTCTAGGTTCAGAAACCATGATTACTATCACAATATATGTGACAAATGATCCCAGTCACTTTTCATTAGTCAGTGACAGACAATATACTAAAATCTGAACACATCAGCCATTCCGTTGACCTTTAAGGTATTGATCCCTGTAATTTTCTGAAAGGAACATTTATTTCCTATATGGGGAATGCACACACTATAAGCTTCTAATTCATGTCAAGTAACTACTTTAATGCACTTGGATAACTCTTTAAAAATATATATTCGATTTCAGACTTGGAAGAATGTTGCATGTGTATTATTTATAGCCATACTGATCCAGAGAAGGTGATCTTTATGTGGAAGCAGGCTTCCTTGCACACAGCAAAAAACCCAAGTGTAAATCGGTGGTACATTTGATTGTGCAAGCTATCTATGCACATGGCATTATTTTCAGTGGGACACATAACAGGATCACAAATGCAGGTAGTAACAATGCATGCAGTAGTTTACACTGGGCTTGCTTTGGCTTAATTGTATCTTTGCAATCTACAAGGCATGCACAGATCACATATCTGAAAGACTGCCTTCTTTTGTATAGACAATCTCAGTTTCTAGAATCAGCAGAGAGGGCCTTCTTGAGAGTTCTGCCACCCTCAGAAGTTTGAAGGGGCTCTCAAAAGGAGAATGGGACTCCCACACACATGCTAGAGAGAACTGAACCCTAGCTTAGACTAGTAGAGCGAATGTCAGTGGAAATCATTCCTTAAGGACTTTGCACCAAATGATGTAACTCTGAAAAATCTCTAAATTATTTTATAACTCAGGTTTATTTATTTATATTTTGCAGTCTAAAAATGAACTTAGGTAGCAGATGATTTTTCCCCTATACCAATATTAAAACAATAATTTAAAGAAGAGCTAAAGTGATTGTTTTAGAACAACTCTCCCTTGAGACGTAGGTGGTGCTGTGAGTTAAACCACAGAGCCTAGGGCTTGCCGATCAGAAGGTCGGTGGTTTGAATCCCTGTGATGGGGTGAGCTCCCGTTGCTCGGTCCCTGCTCCTGCCAACCTAGCAGTTCGAAAGCGCGTCAAAGTGCAAGTAGATAAATACCAGTGTGAAGGTAAACGGCGTTTCCGTGCGCTGCTCTGGTTCGCCAGAAGCGGCTCAGTCATGCTGGCCACATGACTCAGAAGCTGTACGCCTGATCCCTCGGCCAATAAAGCGAGATGAGCACCGCAACCCCAGAGTCGTCTGTG